TTTGATGCAGAACTTTTAAAGGTAAATGTTAGTGGATCACCGGAGCTGTATTAGATTAACATCTACACATGCTTATTGTAGTTGTAAGTGCACTGTCTTGCAGCCTGTAGCACCATCCTTGATGGAGCATATGTGTGGGCTGGACCTGTATTTTTCAGGAAAGGAGTGAGCAGAGGGTATAGTTGTCGATTCTTGTTCTGTTTTCTGTGACTATCTGCCGAGCCCTCTCAGACTTTCAGTCACGCACGCTACTAAAGAGACCCGCTACCATGGAAACCAAACAATGGTGTAGCTGTATTAAAGTCTGAGTGGAAACAGTCCTGAGTAAATCTGATTTCGTCAGAAATTGGGAGAAATCCGGGAGAAATATGACCCCGGGAGGAAACCGGGAGAGGGCAATGAAATCCGGAGTCTCCCGCGAAAATCGGGAGGGTTGACAAGTATGGCGGTGACATTCAACAAAACACTCTGGTGCCACCATGTGGCCAACTGCAGTTATGACATCATCTAACTGAAGTAACGCCTCACACGGGTAAAAATGTTTTAATTAAAATATTTTCTGTAAACATTGGTGAGAAATTGAGACAAATAAGAATAAGCAAAAAGGGACGGATAGATGCTGGGTGGAGCACATTTTTTCCGTTTCCTGTTTACATTCAAAACATTTAAAATACATGATACATCATTGCTAATGCCAAGCTCTTGTAAACAAACAATTGCCATAACGCTGTCAAATCACTGTTTAAAACCCTAACCCACAATGATCTAAGGCTGTGTTTAAAATCTAAGTGCAGAGATACTGCGGAATAGATACTCAATCAGTATGTTCTGCATACTAGGTTAGCATTACCCAGCCATTATAGCAGTCTGCTACACTGTGGTAAACTCACGCAGTACGTACTCTCTGCGATACATGACTGCATCAATGATGGTGTTACTATGTTGTTTTTCTTTTTGCAGGATCGTTTCAGTCACACACCCCTTTAATGTCTTCTCCAATCCACCCGGTTTATGGCAGTATAGTATGGGAAATAAATTGATGCGACACAATGTCTTTGTCTGAACATTTTATTGGTTTCCAAAAAAATGAATAAAACAAAAATATAAAGTCATTTCCTCCAAAATAATTTCAATGTCAAGGACCTGGACAGCGAAAACTGAGGAGAATTCGACCAGGAGATGGGTGCTCACAGAAACACCTCACCCTCCCTGCTCCCCTGTCTAGGCTAGCGGAGGAGTCGGGAAGAAGCGGCTTTTAATATGAGACAAAGCGACGGGAGAACAGGAAAAAAGGGGAGATGAGGATCTGTCAAATCTTGAACAATAAAAACACCAAAACATCTTGTTGGGAATCTTAATCTTGGCAACTTGACTACTAATCTTTACACCTGAAGAGTGAGACAACACACCTAGAGTAATACAATTATTATTTTATTTTATTCATATTAAGTTAAATGTATATCCCTTATAATTGAAATTAACTTTAAGGGGCTGAACTCTCTGAAATAAGGCATCTGTAGTGCTGTAATCTGAGGGTCACAACTACACCTACACTCAGCCATCACAAAATGGGCGCTCTGAACATGGCTGCCATACAACAATATCATGAACGTTTATATAAGAGGGCAGAAGGAGGACCAGCATTTCACTTTCTCTCTGAATTTTCTTAATATAAACTCAGGCAAAAAAACAGAACAGGGCAATGTTTGAACAGAGATGCAGATACAGTATAATGGCAGCACAAAGATCACAAGGTATATAGCGGGCTAGCCAGTGTCTCGTGGTGTGTGTGTGTCCGTGTGTGTAGAAGAGCCAAAAAGCAGCGTTAAACAATGATATGTTCTGAAGGCTGTTTAGAGGGTGGAAGAAGGCAGGAGAGGGCGATCAATAGCAGGAGGGTGAGGGCAGGGAGAGGAATTGAGGGTCGGAATTGGCCATTTATGTGAAGGTAAGCCCCGCCTCGTTGTAGACTTTGAAGACCTTCTCGATGGCGTTGACGTAGGCGGCCGTCCTGATGTCCAGACCCAGGTTGTGCTTGCTTGCTGTACGCATGATTTGCTAGAAAGGCAGAGGAGGACATGTGTTATTATGATGGCTATCAGCAACAACCTCAGGGGGACTCTTGCTGACGGTAATTACCAGCACGGAAAACCGTTCCTTTAATTAAACACCCTCAGAACTAGGAAGTCACCTTGCACCTTTTATATTCTTAATTTCAAAAATAAGGTGAAACCTTGATTTATGGAAAAACTTGAGTTTTTGTACATTGTTCTAATTGGTCTAAAGTCTTTAAATCTGGTCGAAAAAAACTCTGGTCATGTATCAAGCAGTACAACTTTGACCACATGAAATACTTATAAATAATCAAAGTCAGGATTCTAAATGCCAACTTTGTGTTTATTAAATGTCTATTAGCCCAGCTTTATATAAGAACAATTCCTAGCAAACTACTTAATAATTTAACAGATATGAGAAAAGGATTGATTAACCAATTAAAAAGTTAATTTAAGGTTTTGTCAACGTTGACAGTTGCCTAGCTACTGTGGCCAGCAGTAGCAACAGTGTTTACTACAGGTCTGTTGGCGCTGACTCAAAGGATCTAACAGCCTCCTGACGCAAAATCAAACCATTTATTCATGATACAGGTATTTATTGAATATTTTACACAAAGACTACTGCTTTTGTGGAATTTGTGTGTGCATGACAAATTGAAACTTGAGCCGTTGTGTCGATTTGTTGGTTGCATGATATCTTCTTGGTAACCTAACGACTGTTTCTCTGTAATTATTGTTACAATAAACCACTCGAAACTTGAGCTGTTGTGTCTATTCTATTGGTTGCTTGATGTTTATTTGCATCCTTTACTCCTGTATCCGAGCTATCCTTGCAAAGTCATGAAAGTCTTGAAATTAGTCAAAGGCTTCGTGGGAAAGCCTGGATTATTTTCTATGTGAAACGTGAAGTTTTAGGGCAAAGTTGACCTTGAATATTTCATTTGCATGGTAAAAGAAAAGTGAAAGGAAACATGTAGGTCATGTTCTTGAAAGTATGTGAAACATTTCCCCAGTAGTTGTAGGAAATGTATTTGGTTTACAGTGAGATGAGGGACATGAACCACTGCACTAATGCAAGTGGCGTGTTTCATATCTGTTTATTATACTAGATAACATAGTGGCTCTGCANCTTTCAGCTGCGTGCGCTACTAAAGAGACGTGTTACCATGGAAACCAAACAGATTTACTCAGGTCTGTTTCCACTCGGACTTTAATACAGCTACACCATTGTTTGGTTTCCATGGTAACACGTCTCTTTAGTAGCGCACGCAGCTGAAAGTCTGACAGGGTGAGGCAGATAGTCACAGAAAACAGAACAAGAATCGACAACGACTCTGCTCACTCCTTTCCTGCCCACACATATGCTCCATCAAGGATGGTGCTATAGGCCGCAAGGCATTGCTCTTAGTACTACAATAAGCATGTTAATGTTAATCTAACAGTTCCGGCGATAAACTAGCACCCCGCCCCCCACCTCATTTTGCATTTTGAAATGCTCCCGATTTCTGAGGTCTCAAGGTTGGCAAGTATGGTCGCCGCACCTGATCAGTTCATGGTTGGTTGAAAAGTGGTATAACAATTATAAATGTTACTATTGGTGATATTCAATGAGTAAAAAGTGATTATCATAGCGATGCTGGACCATGATGTTATTTACCTGCTGTAACTTTTCACAGGGCTTTGGTAATGTGGGTCTTCACTACATGAGGTACCTGCACAGGTTTGGGGCCAAGTGTGGGCATCGGTGAGATTGATGGAGCCATCTACAACGCTGATGGCATCGACCCCAAAGCGCTGGAGGAATATAAACTGGTACCGCACAACTGCCTTCCCCTCACTTCTGTCTGCTTTATCCTTCTTGTCATCTCCTCCCTCTGTTTTCTCTTACTAAAATAATCAAGTCATTGTTTTTATCAGACTTATTTAATCAGTCAGATGATTTTCTTCTCCTGGAAATACACTTTTCCCCCAAACATTTTACCCAAACAGTCATATATTCAGGTGTCTGTCTCTTTACTTTCTGCAGCAAAATGGCACCATTGTGGGCTTCCCAGGAGCCAAACCCTATGAAGGGGGCATTTTGGAAGCCGACTGCCACATCCTGATCCCTGCCGCCGGAGAAAAGCAGCTCAACAACCAACCCGGAAAGGATACAAGGACCAACGGTAACCCCCTCTACTTTTTGACTTTACCCAAGGTGCTTTGCTTAAAGTTGGTGTTTGACTCCACACGAGTAAGGACAGGGAGACTTTGTTGCAGTCATGTAAAAGTGTGTGTTGTATTTCATGTCTTTTCAGATCATTGCTGAAGGTGCCAATGGTCCCACCACCCCAGATGCTGACAAGATCTTCCTGGAGAACAACGTCATGGTTATTCCTGTAAGCGCGCACACACAATTAAAATAAAATGTGCTCAAACCACACAAATCCAGCGCTGATGGAGCAGATGAACTGAATTTTTTTGTTGTTGAATTCTTAATGAATTACACCTAGGGATGTTTTTCCTTTTTAACTTTTGAATCTGGATTATTACTTAGTCATTATTATAGTCATTATTATTTGGTCATGAATATTTTGTGATACAGCAAAAAATACACTGTTATATTTGTATAATATATAAACCATAAAGGGGAAATGTAAAGAATAAGCAAGAGTCATATCAACAATAAACAAGCTTTTATTGTGTAAGCAACTGATTCTTCTAATAATTTCACAAAAGCATTTCATTTTCAGTTTATTACAGAGTACAAGACTGCTCCTCACCTCCTCCATGGCATGCAGCGTCATAACACTCAGAGGATACATTACCAATACACATAAAGCTTAGAAATCAGTTATTTATAATGATCCATCTTATTTTTTTGTTTCATTTTTTTGAGTGGGTTGGTTTACCTCCTCCTCAGGCTCATTTTCTAATCCTAAAGCATTTAATTTTGCTTCTAAGTCGTCTGTCAGGGCCTGTCGTTTCATTTCTTCAAAATCTTTCAGAAAACTCACCCTTAGGTCTTTGCCTTGTACCACAACTGTTACACTAGGATATAAAGTTATGGTACCGCCGTTCTTGATAGGTGACTTGAGTCTGATTTGTTGGTCTGTTTTAACTTCGTTAAATTCTGGGTACTTTTCCTTCATTGCAGCCAGCCATTCTCTTACACGTGTGCTATAGAAAGTAATGCCAAATGGTACATCATTTCTGTCATGATGGTAGACAATGTCTTTATTGCCATGCAGCGTCTTTTCTCTGTTCTTGTCTTTTTCGAAATCTCGAGGAATGGTAGCCATCTGAATTAAAACAAAGAGAAGAACAATTTGTATTGGCAAACTACCATACTACTGATAAATGGTACAGCCTGTACAGCACTCAGACTTGCTGTGTTATTGTACCTTGTATTTCTCTTGGTGTTATGATGCTCTGGACTTCTCAGCAGGATGGAGATACTCAGGTTCTACAGCTGCTTCCAGAAGCCACAACACAAACCTCAGAACAGGAGTTTTGTCACAACCTATCCACAATATATCAAGTCCACCTCCCCTGCTGTAATTTGACCTGTACGAAAATCTTTTAACGCGACAAATGTTTCAAGTTTAAACTCTTCATACTTTATTGGGGATACAACTTCTAGCCACTTGCCCCAAATGTATGGAACACGCAGCTAAATTGTAAAGCCGTCTGTATATGAAAGGTGCATTTAAAAAGTATTTTCATTCAAGTTGTTTCAGTTCATGCTGTGGTTGCTAAAACAAGCTTTTAAAAAATACTATCCTTTACATGTCTCTTAGCTATTACATCACTGGCAAGGCTTCTAATGTATCTTTTAATGCAAGATAAATTAGTTTTAAATATAAGTGTAACAAATCTAAATAGCAATTATGTCAACAGTAATTTAGTAGTAATTTAGTAGATATAGTCTTACTGGATCAGTGCTGGCTCAGGCGATGTCGACGATGTTGCTCTGTTATTTCGGCTTAAGCTGGTGTCAGCTGATGTGATCTCTCTCCAAGAGTAACGACGTCTGGGGCAACCTTTTTTTATACTCTCTCTTGATCACAAGCAGCCAATCATACAGTGGCTTTTTCACTTTCACTTGTGTAACTTGATGAACTGAACCATCAGGGTGTGTCAACCCTGGTATCTTTAATCGATTCAGTCTGTTATCGTGTCTTAGCAGGAAAGTTTGGAGAGGTAGTTTGGCAAGCAGGGGGGGCCCATCCCTGTCGTACCTACTGCTGACTTCCAGGCCAGAGTTGCTGTGAGTTGAGTTCGTTAACCTCAGATGACCAGATGTCAATTCCAGTTTATTACATAGGCAGTCAGTGGTAATTTTCAAGGTTACTTGTTAAACAGTGTTATCAACGCTATGCGTTTCCGGGTATAAACAATTTCTGATCTATAAAATTTTATGTTAAAAAATTTACTTCATAATCTTTCGACGTAACAAAAGTTTTGTATAATGCTTTTTTTGGAAACAAACCATAGCTATGAAGAAAAAATTTACACACACAAT